TCTCTCGGGCACGGTTCCTCATCAAGGGATCTTCTCTCCGCTGATGTTGACGCCTTAATGGATCAGGTGGTGGATCATCGTCGTCATCCAGGTCAAGGGAGTCTTCTTCCTCTTCACGGGCATTCCTTCGAAGCTGAACTGGTTCAGCTTCAGCTCTGGGCTGAGGCTGCTCCAAACAACCTATCCTTTCGCCAAACCCTTCTAGTTGTTTCGATAGGGTTTGCATCATTTGCATCATGGCATCTTGTGGTATGGCTGCGTGTTCTCCCATTGTGAGTGTCTAAAAATTATCCTGCACTTAGACAAAAACAACAAAGAAATCAACGTACCACAGAAATCGAAAATGAAAACTTTAGAAACGAGAAACTGATGGACGTGCTGAATTAGACAAGAAAATGAAAACCTTTTTTTTTTATTTAAATAAGTTTTAAGATACTTAAACAATACTAGCTAACAAAGATAATGACGCAAAAATTTAAAAACGAAATATTTTTTTTTTTTTTTTTTTTACGAAAACCTTTAACTAGTACAAAAACTAAATCAAAGACTAAAGCAGACGATTTAAGGAAAGAATAGTGACAATTTTTTTTTTTGTTAAGGAAAATAAAACTAAACAACCTACATAAACAAGACTGCAGCAAACTAGGGTTCTTAATTATTATTATTTTTTTTTTTGAAAAATAAAACAAAACTAGAATTCAAAACTATCAAAAGAAGATGGAAAAGGTAAACATGGCAAGGGAAGAGCGTGAGGCTCTGATACCAGATGATACAAGACTCGGTGGTGAGCTTGTATCAGGATAGATATGATGGCTACACAAGATGGCGGTCGCTTCTCTCTTGTGTAGGAAAGATGGTCGTTGATGTAGATCTGACACGATGGCGGTCGCTTCTCTCGTGTGGGATCGAATGAAGGGGAAGTGCTGGCGGATTGAAGTACACCACAGAGATTTGATTGGTCTCTGATACAGTACACGATCTTAGCCTTGTGGAATCACACACACAAGACAAAGAACAAGCTTATTCTCTTAAGAACACTTAAAGAGAAGAACTGAAGAAAGTTCGGTTCTTTATTGATAATCAAGGGTAAAAAACTCGTACAACTGCTGCAGGGGGACTTTATAAGAGTCCTTCAGCTAGCCCTAAGGCCAAAATAAATGTAAAAATGCAACAAAGGAAACAAATAAAATTACAAATACAAAGCCATTGTTTTTGGAAAGAAAATAAGTAAAATACTAAAACAAACTTGAAACCTCGTGATGAGCACGTCTCCTAGCCGTTGTTGGGGCTTAATGGACCTGCAATTATCAAAAATATTGAATAGAACTTACCTGGATGCGATCTAGGCCCAATCGATGTTCTCTGAACTACGTCTTGATCAACTTCAGGGGTCTTGTCAGGTGCATGTTTGTTTGTTGGTTTCTTGAAGTAGATGGTTTCTTGGAGTTTCTCTTGGGTAGCTTGATCAGTCTCTTGAAGCTCTTCCAAGTCCTTGATGTCTTGTTCTTGATCTTCACTCTCTCGATCACTCTCGAAGGTGAAGCTTGTTTTGCTCGTCTCTTGTGACTCCATTGTCTTCTCTTGGATTCTAGATGTTTCTTGACCTGTCAAAGGAGAATTCATACCTGGGGAAATGGTATGTTCAAGACTCATTTGGGTGAATGCTTCAGCAAGCTCTTCCTCGGCGATGGGATCATATTCGTCGTGATGGAGTAACGGTGGTACAGACCAGTTGACGTAGTTCAGCTCTAGTGAGCTCACAATGTCTTGTACAGCTAGGTTGAACCTCTTTCTAAGTTGTTTAGACTTTGAACGAGTCATGGGACCTACTGGGACGACTGGTACAGGGTGTGGTACAGGATCTGGTACTTGATCTAGTTCAGCGGGTTGGACAGGATAATCGATGTCCGCATCAGTTTTGCCATTTTTGCTCGTCTTCCTCCCTCTTCCCCTCACCATTGGTTCATCTTCGTTTCATTCCTAAAATGTAAGTGTTTTTTTTTCATTTCATTTTCCCAAAAGCTTTTCGTTCTCTCCAGATGTTTGTGTTTGATTCCATAAATGGTTCAAATAGATTGAAGTAGAGAAATTGAATCAGACCTTATGATTTCTCGTTCCTTTGCGTTGGTGAATTGGGATGTAGTTGTGTAGTTCTGGATTTGGGCATCAAAAAATTCACTGTGTTAGAAATACTGATGTTTTAGGAAATGGAACTTTGGGTCACTGTCACATATGAACCATCTTTGATATTGTGTATTATGAATATTAAGCATGTTATATGTTTACTCTGTCTAATACAAATATTCAAGTTACTCATAAAGAGTTCATCTAATACAAATATTCATGTTAGATATGGTTTTGAGTCAAGTTCAGAGTTTATGTGATAAGGATATTGATGGAAACTTCAAAATTCTAATGCTTACACCATTGTATATCTTCCATTTCGTAGCTATGCACATGATCTGACGAAAAAAGTTTATGTGACTTGGTTAAAGTTATTCATGGAAATTTAGACTTGCGACCATGGATCATGGACTAAATAAATTTAGTTTTGCTTTGCTAATGCTTCTTGTCTCCTACTCTAAACTGATGCGTTCTTGCTCTAGTGTAGATCTCGATCTGGAACTTTTTTTACTGTCTCTCTGCTCACAAAGTTGCAATCTTGGGGGAGATCTTAGGCAACCCTTTTCTCCTCTGGTTAGTTCTTATAAAACCCTTTTCTTCTTGTTAGTTTTATATGTCTTCCTGTTGTATCCCCTTGATTAATTTAATGTTTGGTTTTGGTAATTAAGAACTGGTAAGCCTTGTTATAAGCAGAACGTCTAGGTTACTTTTGCAATCATGAGTGATGTTTATTTTGCACAAATGGGTCTTATGATATGCTTTATCTATGTAGTGTCTTTGAATCCGAGGGTTCAGTGAATTAGATATGAATTTAGTGTTTAATGTTTAATGTTCACGTTAAACATAAAAATGTAAATTACTGAGAGTTGCTAATGCCAATGCAGGATGTGGCTGTAAAGGTGTTCTCCAAACAAGATTATTCAGAAGAGATCATTACATCTTTTAGACAAGAGGTATTATTCTTTCCTTTGGCTTCTTTAAAGCATGTTAGTGATTTGATTAAGCTTGCTATCAAGAACATTGCAGGAAGAAGAACTTTCATGGTATCTGGTTTTGAATATATTTAAGTTGCAGATTATGTTATACCGTATTCTGATTTTTGAGGATTTATTGAAATATAATTAATAATTAATAACCTTACTTCTTATTAAGAAAGAAAAAAAAAATACAGAACCAGGGCTGGAAAGGGTTCAGCCCTTTAATATTAATTTTACAAAGCCATTTTATATTCAGGGCTAAACAGGGCCAGGGTTGAACAGGGCATACAAGCTCTTTTTAACATCCCTAAATATGACTATATGTTTCCAACTACAAATGAGCATGAAATTTGGTTTCTTAGGCATCCAAATTTTTAAAAAAATTATTCTGTTTAATCCAGTTATATATTTAAGAAACATAAATTTTTAAAGAGTTTTAAAATATTAAAAATTTTATTAGAAAGGTTTAAAATATTATAGAAACTCTTACTAATGCCCTAATGTTATAACATTTCTTTTAAAGTATTATTAATATTTTAACTCTAAATTTTTTAAAATATAATAATTGTACATAAATATGATTGGACGGATTTGAGTTTGCATAAATAGGATTATATTTTTTTACGGGTTGTATATAATAAAATATTTTTACGGGTTAAAAATTTGTTTTACAACAAAATTATTTTGCGGTGTACCACGGGTTGACCACATATATCTATGAATCTACTTATAATACAAATTCATAAAATTATGTAAAATTAAATGAAATAAACACGTATAAAAGTAGACTATATAAAACAACTACAAAAAAACCAACCAAACAAATATATTAAATTATGGACTCGTGGTTTGAGTTTACATAAATAGAATTATATTTTTTTACGGGTTGTCTATAATAATATATTTTTACGGGTTAAGTTAAAATATAATTTGTTTTACAACAAAATTATGATGCGGTGTACCGCGGGTTGACCACATATATCTATAAATCTACTTATAATACAAATTCATAAAATTATATAAAATTAAATGAAATAAACACGTATAAAACTAGACTATTTAAAACAACTACGAAAAAACCAACCAAACAAATATATTAAATTATGGACCCGTGGTATAGCACGGGGTAAATTCTAGTTCCGAACAAATCAGCAGTCATTCGCAATTAAAATGAATAGGTTTAATAGTCAGGTGGGTGGAAGAATACGGGACAACCCCGATATGGGACATATTTCATTGTTTTGTATTTCAGATTGGATACAAGATATGAAGATAATGGGTTTTCTAATTTTTCAGATATTTACTATGTTGTGTTTCCCGATAGGCATTCTCCCTAACTCATTTAATATTTTTATCTGAGAGTCCAGAACGATTTACTAGCTTAAGAACGCAAAAGTCACATTTTCCAATATCTAGCACACACTTGTGCCTACTACTCTTAACTAGATAATTCAAGGCAATCACCACTCATTGTTTTTTCGAGTGTGATTCCTTTACAAAACCATCAACAATTTTTCTTTTGTTGATGGGGCAACACCACACACAAAGTGTGCATATAAAAAGAAACCCTAGGTGTGCAACCTTTTCTTGTACCCACCTCTTCCTTTTTATACTCTTTAGAGTTCTCCAAAACCTTAAGTTCCCAAGCTCACCCTTTTCTCTTATGGATAATAGCTTGTGCTCTTTTGTCAACTTGACCCATGCTTTTGTACAAGCTGCTGTCAACTTGACCCTTCTCTGTTTGAGACTTCACCGTCTCTGTTATGGAACACAGCCACTGACACTTTGAACCTTGTCTGTTATGTCACAATTGTTCCCCTGATACTCGTTCACTCCCTTGTTTGCTGCAACTTGAAGCTCTTTCATTATGTTGCACTCCATTGACTGCTCTGTTTTCTTCTCTGCCTCACTTCAAGTTTACTCAACTAGAAAACATATTTCTGCTCTAGTATAACACAGCTGCTTCCTTCATTCTGCTCTGAAGCACTTTTAGGTTTACTCAGCAGCTTATGCATGACTTGTTCTTATGAGCTTAAAACATGATTGGTTGAGCTCTTACTTCTTGGATATTCTCAGTAAGACTCCAATGTTCAACGCGTCACTTCATTCCATGTGACCTTACATTTAGATGTTTTGGATGTTCATGATTCTCTGAATCTCTGGCTCATGAGTCACAACATCATTCTCTATACATGAAGTTGTACCAAACTTGTTCACTTTACTGTGTCTGTATCTGGTTGTACAACCAACATATTTGTTCACTGCATCACTGCATCTGTATTTGATTGCATATATATCAAACTTGTTCATTACATCTGTGTATGCACTTATGGTTGTATTAAACATGCTCGTTGCTTCTCATCATTTCTCTTGAGTCTAATAACCAGTAACAACATCAATACATCTTCACACATACACAATAATTGAATGGGATATTTCTTACCTAAATACTAAATACCCGATTGGATATCACACCTAATTTTTTCATCACAAAGGAACTCTATACATAACTTCTGAATAAAAAATCCAGAATGCTCCTAATCGTATTGGCTTCTACAATGGTAATATATGTAGATTATTATTTCTGCTATACTATTAACTAAAATTTTTTTTCTTAACTGTAGTTATGCTCGGCCAAATCTCAATACGACATGCGTGTTATGGTCTCGGCCTTGACTCAAGTAATCGGAAACCAACAAAGCAATTCTCACGATAATATGGGCTCTACTGATAGCCATCCTTGTGTCTATAACCCACAAGATCCTATTCAACAAGTTGCTCCTACTCATCAAGACGAAGGTATACATATACATGCTCATGTCGTCTATGTTATTGCTGTCTTTTTACTTTTGATGAAACTATGTTCAAGTATATGGAATTTTTTTTGGCAAATTTCATATCAGAAGTAAAACCCAAAATTCATAGATAGTTGTAACTTAACCTATGATTTTCAATACTCGTTCACCAACAACGGTTCTGTAACTACCAAAATGTATGTTTTAAGTTTTAACATGTAAATTTGTTTGTAGTGTATGGTTTAAATTAGTAAATTAGCACTAATATTTTAACGAGATATTTTAAGTTCAGATGATATAATAAACAAGATATTTTTATTCTACCAAAAAAAAAAGATATTTTTAGGGTGATTTAAAAGTGTACCTAGATAAAAAAAAAATTAACAATATAACATCACTTTTTATTTGAAAATGTATTAAAAATTATTAAAATTGGATACAAGATGACAATTTATACTGCTTGGTAGTTACTAAACAAATGTATTTCGTTAATTATAAATTTGAATATCGTACTCAATCATTCTATAATACAAAATCACAAAATTTATATATTGCAGCTACAAGCGAGAGGTTAGGGTCGATGTGCTGCAGCGCTTGTAGCTGCCATGTGGCGAGGTGTGCCATATGGCAGAGGGTCCCACGGGATTGGTTGTTACATTTTATAAGGTTCAAATATTATTAATATATAAAATAACTGATAATTTTGCAATGGGTTAAATTATATATTAAATTTAATTGATATTTTTGTAATGGGTTAGAACATGATACACACCACTTAAGTTTTACAATTAAATACTTTGTAATAAAAATCTCACAGAAATATGATTTCAAATTATATGGAAAAGTTATTAACTTTTTGTGAATTACGGATCCTAAATTAGATGACTAAATCAAAATTTGGTGGTTTATACAAAATTTATTAATCAAAGATTGATTAAAAAAAAATCATACGAACTAAGTTTTACCGAGAAACTATATTATTTATCAAACTATGTAAATTACGGTTTTCACGGGTTAGTTTGTTAAAATCACGGTAATATTGTAAAGAGAGTTATGAATAAATTTTTTACGACTCAATCCGTTTTGGGGTGGTCAGTAAAAAAAAAAATATGAGTATATATTTTTTATGTATGCAAATGTTTTATAATTTTTACGTATATTTCTTCTTCTACTATAAAAATGGTCAAATTGAATAATATATCGACAAATATTTTTTCGCGATGATTTTTTTTTTTTTAATTTTTTTATTATTGTATTATCATTTAGGGTATAGTTTTTAAGGGTAATATGTAGTGTTTAGGATTTAGAATTTAGTTTTGAATGTTAAAATTTAAGTTTTAGTTTTGTGGTATTTTTGGAAAAAATTGTAATCTAGTGGTATTTTTGGAAAATAAACTTCATAATGATATTTTTGGAGAAAAAAAAAATACCCATTTTTGTGGTATTTAAGAGAATTCCCAAAAAAAAAAAATGTGAGAAAACTATATAAGGTGTTATTTATATTTTGACGTTTGATTTTTAGTTTTATTTGAAGGATTAAACTGTTAAAACGTGTACGATGAAACTCAAGACAAGTGGATCATAAGTATATGTCATGTAAAAACAAAACCTTCCAAGTCATGCTCTTGGTACCAAATGATCTCTCTGCTAGTTTAGTAACAAGAAAACAAAATAATTAGTTTGGACGTATTAATTACACAATATTAAAATGAAAACCTTTTTAAAAACCTTTAAATAGTCGGTAACAGAAAACAGAGGCGGCAAAGGATTTGGATTTGCAATTGCCTCATTGCTTTATTTTTGTTGCGATCAATCTTTTATCATATTTGGTTTTGTTTATTGTTCTTTTACCGTTTTGTCTCACGTTTGTAAGTTCTATGAAAATACTACTATAGCCAATGATAATAGTATACTTTTAATAATAACAATAATAACATTACATAATTTGATTACAATTTGGAATCCTAACATATATAAACTAATAAACAATCCTAGTAACCGGATGAAAAAAGTGGAGAAACTTGAAGGAATGGGCATCTTTTATCCGCTCTGAAGATTTTAGATATCTTTACCCATCGATAACAAGGCCTCGAGTGTTGTTCCTGGTCGACCGAGTTGCATCCTAGCCACCCGAACCTGATATGTTGTGGTTTCACTCTGTTACTCGAGAGCAAAGATGTCTCCCTGGCCCACCTACCAGTGAGGTGTTGTTTCACTATGTTTATCAAGAGGAGAAACCATTGTTGTCGTTCGGTCAACAACAGTTGCGTATTTCTCTTGATTCAACAAATTCTCATATTTCTCAGCCCATCAGAGGTATGATCTGTCTTCGGTTACAAACTAAGGTTGCGATTTGCAATCCGGGTACGAAAAAGTTTCAGACTTTACCGGATATCCAAGCGCATAAGGACGCTGTCGTAACAAGTTTTCTAGGATACGATGAAGCCACCAAAGTGTTCAAGGTCTTATGTGTGACGATGTTACATAACATTGAACCATCACTCAGAGCTTATGATTATCAAGTCTTGACTGTGGAATTGGGTGAAGAACCTTCTTCTTCTTGGAGACGGATCACATGTACGAAGGATCATCAACCAGAAACTCAAGGACTATGTAAAGGAGGGATTTTGTACTATGGAGCTCGGTCCACTAGTCACGAACCTCTGGTAATGAAGTTTGATGTGAGGTCTGAAGAGTTTACCGTCATTGAATTTCCTGATCTACATATTAGTACATATTGGAATTTTGTGATTTACAATGGGAAAATTGCCTTGGTGAACGACTCTGACTTCTTAGATGGAATTGTGAATGAACCGAATGGAGATATAGTTTTTCATATATGGGTTAGGGATGAAACTGCGAGGGAATGGCAGAGAACCCACGTCGAGATTCTTAGTTGAAATCATTTCTATGTAATGAAACCATGGTAAATCTTACTACCAAGAAAAAAAGGATTGAGGCACTAAAGAAAAGCAAATGATATGTTAATAATGGAAATATATGAATAGGAGAGCCTGGTCTATTGTCTAAAACTTCAAATCAACGTTATGTAGATTAATAGAAAATACTTACTGCTTTATGACCAGATACTGCCATTTCAATAACAATTCTCATGAATTTGCAGATTGATTGTGTGTCCTCTTCGCTGAACCCACCGATGCCTTCTATATTGCTGTTATTACCAAATGCAAAAGTAAAAAATAATTGACTGTTGTACTATAAATGAAGAAATATATTGCTATAAAAGTGCATATAAGATCACTAATAGAAATCATCAAGAAGTAGGATTACTTCAGAACGACTAAAGTTTAAATAATTAAAAGACAAGAAAAGTAATGTAGAGTCTTTTAGTTACAAAAAAAATCCAAGAAACCAAAATCTAACAGAAAGATATGAAACTTACTAGGTTGGGGGGTGAAATGAAGTTGGCCATATCTTACTTTGTTTTTCCCACTCTTCTTTGGACACCGCAGCATATTTGCATAACTAGAGTTGTTAAAATGTGCTTAGATTTACAGGGTTGGCCCGGCTCGTCTTAATATTTTCGGGTTAAAGCCCTGTCTTCTTTAAAAAAATATATTTCGAATTTAAAACGAGCAGGACTGTACAATATTAACGGGCTTAAAACGAGCTCGCCCAAAATATTTTTATTAACTTAAAATTTTTAAAACGCCATCGGTTTTAGGTTGATTTTCCAAATTGAGAAACTCAATCTCAGTTTTCTCTTCTCAATCGACGAAGGCTAAAGCTTCATCTCACAAATTTTTGAGCTTCATCTCAATCGCCAAGGCTAAAGCTTCATCTCCCAGGTATAAGTCTCATCTGAGATAATTGGGTTTTTGAAAATTTTCGTTTTGAGCTGTCTCCATGAATCTGATTTTGATAAAAATCCCATCTTTTGAGCAGGAGAAAGAGAGAGAAGCAGTTTGGTTTAGTACCCGTTATCGTCTTCGTTGAAGGTCAATCTTCGTACCCGTGATTGTTTTTGGTATTAGTATAGATCTAGCTGTTCTTGCAAATAATTTACTTTGTACTCTTTTGTATGATTTGGAACACGATGGTAGAGTAGAAGGTTCTGTTCTTGGATATAGTGGGAGCTTGGTATAGTTGAAGCTTGGCTCTGCTTAAGTTATCTCTAGATTGAGCTGAAGTTTTTGTTTTGTCTTAAGAAAGCTGGCACTTTGTTTCTCGTTTGTTAGTTAAGTAGATGAATTGTGTGATAGAGAAGCTGCTTGAGAGATTTATGGATCTGTGACACTGGATTTGGAGGGTAAAGAAAGATCCTTTGAGATTCTTTGCCATCATAAGGCTTTGTGCTTGAGAAAAAAAAATCGAAATTTGGAAAAAAGTACTTGGTTCATTTGGTTCAAGAGAGTTGTCATCTTTCAACACTGCTCCTTTGATGTATGCTGAATCTAGATATGACTTTTATTGAAGATATCTTGGGGAGCAAGATGTGTATCTTGCGGACCAACTATTATGGACCGTGAGTCCATTATTGAAGTGGATCCGTGAAGCCCAAGGCAATTAGTGATAAAGGCATATCGTTATTATGATTTATATTCCTATTGTGATAAGGTTTAGAGATCATTGTTTTAGGGAGATAAGGTTTATCAGGTCTTATGTTCTTATAAATACCTAAGTTGGGAAATCAATAAAACCAAGTTAGTTCAATAACCAATTCTACAGCTTTCTTTGTTCATTTATCTCAGACATTTATTGATGATCTGAAATTATGTCAATGCAGGATGTGGCTGTAAAGGTGTTCTCCAAACAAGATTATTCAGAAGAGATCATTACATCTATTAGACAAGAGGTATTATTATTTCCTTTGGCTTCTTTAAAGCATGTTTGGTAAAAGAATTACGTCTCAGATTTTACTTGGTTTAAGCAAGTAATACCTTAAGTTAAGACTGCTTTTAATTTTAACTCACGTGTGTTGTTGTCTTAATTTGAAAAAAAAAATGATAAAAAAAAACAGAACCAAGGTTGGAACGGGTTTAGCTATTAGATTTTGACCTAAAGTCCCTAACTTTGGCATCTTTAGACTTTGTTTTGTCTCTAATTATTGTCTTTGATTTGTAAAGTTACCAGAGAAGTGAAATAGATGATGAGTCTTGTTTAGATATTCGTCTTCTTCCTCTTAGTTAGTTCTTTTTTAACTGATACAAATTGTTCTAAAAATTGGTTGCAGATTGTTTTGAAACTAATTGTTCCAAGCTCAGTTTTAGCTCAAGATGGATACTACTAGAGATGATGAATTCACATTCTCAAAGGTAAGTTTCCACCCATTTTCTTGAGGATTTCAGTTTATACAAACATGAAAGTTTTAGAATTTATGATTTGATTCTTGGTTTGCTCCATCTTGAAAGGTTGCGGGACCAGATAGTGAAGTTGCTCTTGAGGCAAAAGAACTTGCATCAAATGTGGGAAGTATTACCCTTGACGATGGATTAGATCAACCAAGCAATGGTCTTATTTGGAAAGATAAGTCTCTTCCTCCAAAGGAAGAGAAAATAGGTTCTTTGTCTTTCACGGTGATTGATTCATCTTCGAAAAAGCCGTCCAATGAATCATCTGAGACTTTCAAATCTCCCGCTAGAAAGCCTGTAACTCGTACCAAAGTTCCCTTTGAAAAGGGTTATAGCCAAATGGATTGGATGAAACTTACACGAACACATCCTGATCTTGCCCGTACGCAAATCTCTCTTTAGTCGTCTTTTCCTAAACCACATTTTTGATGTATTACATACATGAAGCGGCTATGTGTGTTTGCAGGACTGAAGGGAGAGTCAAACAAGAGGCTTATTCCAATGGATGAAGTAAAGAAGCACAGATCAAGAGATTCTATGTGGACTGTTTTGAAAGGTCGTGTGTACAACATATCACCTTATATGAACTTTCATCCTGGAGGTGTCGATATGCTAATGAAAGCGGTTGGGAGAGACGGTACGCTCTTGTTCAACAAATACCATGCTTGGGTCAATTTTGATATCTTACTTGAGAAATGCCTTGTTGGAGTTTTGGACGAGACCAAAATGAAGAAACAAGAAGCCTAATTGCTATTTGCTAAAAGGCTGAGATGATCATATACTCGTGTAGAGGTATTTACAAGTCAATAAAATTTTAAATAGTGTTTACATTCTGATTCTTCAAATGAAAACGCTGATCACTATATATGTATGTACTATGTATTAGACTTTTGTTACAACTCATTGATGTCAATATATTCAAAGCTTCCACAGAATCATTTATCAAGATATGTGATTAACCTTTCTGATTTGTAATTTAGACTTTGTTTTGTTTCAGTTTTGGTTTATATGTGAAGTATGCAGAGAATTAAAGTAACATGATGAATCTATCTTCTATTTCTTAGATCTTCTTCTTCCCCAAAGTTGTGGTTTAGGTTCCTTTTTTAAAATAATATTATTGGCTTGTTCAGAAACTTGCTGATACTAGGAAGAGTTCATCTTTTCTGGTGTTATATCCTGCTTTCTATAGTCAATCTTCCAAGTTAAACCTCTGAGAAACAGATATTTTCTCAGATTTTGGGATCTTGTGTCTGGATTCATGATTTTAATCAAGTATTATTATATTACAAACCAAAAAATCTTAACTTTACACTCTGTGATGATATCATTGATCACCATTGCTCAAATCTGTTATTTTGTGAATTATATTTGAGTAAAGATGTAAGTGTACAACAACTTACTGTTGCGTTTTCATCCAAAAATCATTTGGTTGGTACTTAGTTCCTGTATCGTCTCAGCCAGAGTACTTTAGCTTCCAAACTTCAATTGCTTAGTTTTAAGAATATAGTGTCCTTGATTGTTCTTTGTCACTGTTAACCTTAAGCCACATTCAATTTTCCTGAGCCTGTTAAACTCCATTCACTACTACAATGTTCTTTGCTCTTCTTGCATCACTTTAACTCTCAAGTTGAATCTTTACTGGATTTTTTGCTTTAAACTTTCCTTTTTAACATTCAAATTATCTTTAACTACAACATCCCAAAACAAACACAGATCCCAATCATGAATCATTCACTTGTTATCTTCTCGGATTCAGGTGAAAAATAAAAAAGAATAAGCAACTACAAACTGCGACATAGATTATGGATTGTTCTAACTTAAGAGAGAACAAGATCTTGTAACAGATTGTGAAGTGTCTTTTTTCCACATCTACTTATTGAGCTGAACAAGTCATGAAATATCTGAGCAAAATCACCAAATCTTTTCAAAAGAATAATTGTCTGCATGCTTGGGATGAAGTCGTTGCAGGGCAATAAGGGCATTTGAATCTGCGGTCACTACAGTTCTTGCTGAGTCTCGTCATTGACTTCTTGCTAATAACATGACGGCAAGGCATCATCATCATTGGCGGGTTTTCTTTGCTGCTCTCATCTCTGCTCACTGAACAAACAAAAACCGAGTGATACTGATACTCTTTCCCCAGCTCCAAAGGTACCGGGAGATGCTCCATGGCTTCCCATTCTTCTTTCTTCAAAGCCATTACATCTACCAGCTTTAAAAGTGTCGGTAAGCTCTCTAAACCTGCGGATAAAGCGACTGCCAACGGGGATTTTGATGGCTGATCATGGAGATGGTAGTATTCCCTGAGTAGCTCTTTGGTTACCTTGTCCCAACATGATGGAGATACAATCTCTGCGTAAGGACTCTTGTCAAGTTCTCCAATCCATATCTGACAAGTCATAAGCTTTTGTATCTCTCGTACATGGAGTGAGCCGTATCGCGGGAAATGGGTTCTCGCATACTTCATAGCATCATCACGCTTTCCTTCTCTCAACATATCACAGTACTTCAAAGTTACGACATTAAACTCCAGCTTCGAACCCATTTCCTTCAGCTTTCCACTGTTGGCAGAGATCCATCTCATTGCAGGCTCAATGTTCCTCAGCTTCATTGACTCGATAATCTCCTTGATTTCAAATGACTGAGATCTAACCTCAGCTTCTTCCTCACCTCCAGCCTCCTTGACCAGGCAATCACCAACCTCGAAGAGCCCTTCTCGGTAACAATGCTGGATAAGTATCTTATTCACCAAAGCGATATCGAAACCAATGGTTCTACAGGCTAGAGATATGTCAGGATGATAACAAGTCTCCAAAACTTTCACCAACTTGCTAAGACTCCCTTTGGTTTCCTTGTGTGATTTCTTAAGCTGGATAATAGGGTAAATAGCATCAAGCTTACGCCTCAACTCAGCAAGAACCAATTCAGGTTCTACCCCATCTTCCTCTAATTGGATTCGCCTCAACGTATCTTGGATTCCTTCACAAACTAGGTCGATAACATCTAGCGATACAGAGTGATACAGCTTCTGTTTCTTAGTAACTCGATCAAAAGCATCTTTCACGACAGCTGTCGGATCCATTCCTTCCTAAATGTTTACTACCAAACTGTTCCAGAGAACACAACTCATCCAAAACTGCATAAAAACATTAAATTAACTAATGATCAAACTGATTATAACATCTTAATTGGTCATTACAAAACACAATACGAATCTAATTCTCATTTAAATTTTGCAATTTTTTTTTTTGCCCTAATAGTAAATAAGTAAGCAGATCATTAGATTAGATTACAGATTCATCAAATTCACAAGACAAGAATCCTCAATCACAGAATAAATGAGAAATCAATTGGTAAGCTAAATAGGAAGATGTGGAGTACCGTAAAGGAGACTGAGAATTTCGAACTCGCCTTCCTCAGAAACCAAAAGCCATTGAAAGAGGAACGAAGCAAAACCATAAAAAAATTCGTTATTTATAAGGAAGATGATTTTGTTTTGAGCATGAGGTTTTCAAAGACGTGTTCCAAGGCAAATCTAACTTGTTAAGATTTGTTTCCGGAAACAAATCTTTATATTATTAATGCATAATAATAATGGAAAACTGTTACTTATTATGCATTAGTTACGTTGACTCACACTTGTGTATTCATAAGCTTTTTTTTTATAACCCAAACAATAACAAAAAAAACACATCAAATCCAATCCAAACCAAAACCACAACAAAGAAAAGAGAAAACTCAGGAAGGTTAAATTATACTCAGACGGCCAACGATTAGAAGCTTCGCTCTCAATGTGTTTAGAAAAGTCTGAGTACTTCATTAAAAGCAATAGATGGTTTTATATAAAAGCCTTATAACGTCCACTAACGCAGCAACATAGAAAATAGGAAACAAACTAACAACTTAGTGACCTCAACTTAGTCAAAACCCTGAAATTGTAACATATATTTAGCAACGCTCAAGAGAGACTCGGCTGCTGAAACCAAAGCAACTAACACAAAGCTTTCACAGAGAAATCAATGCATTCCTAAGTTAAACTCAAAGCCATTTACTGATTCTGTTTTACTACCATTCACAAGTGGTTCAGTTTTGAATAAATAAACTCAATGATTCATTTATTTTAAAAAACTGAGAGTTCATACAAACCAAAACAATAAAACTCTCTTACTCAGACTGATTTGGTATGTGTTAAGCTTGAAGACTGACTATATGAATCCATGACTGAAACTCTCAAACTCTGAGATCGTTGCAGGCTTGCAGCTAACAATCATTTATTACCAAAAAAGGTGTTTTGAGAATCAATACAATAGTTAAGCCTTTACCTAAATCTAAGGCTCCGATTGGTAACGACTGTTACTTTTGGCTGTAGAGACTTTGACTTTAAAATTTTAGCAGCAGAGAATTTAGCAGTATATGTTTTGGCTGTATATGTTTTGGCTGTAGAAACTTTTACTGTTAAAATATGATTGGTAATGAACCACTATTAAAGATGTAGCTGTTATTTTTATTATTATTATTATTTTATATTAATAATAAATATAAATTATGTTAAAAATGAATTTATAAAAATTATTATTATTGAAATGGATCTTAAAAGAAGAAGAAAAAAATAAGAATAATTAATTTATAAAAATAAAATATATATTTAATATATGTATAAACTTGTGGAAATGTTTTAAATGTAATGGGGATGTGAAAAATAAATATTTTTAATTGATTAGATTTAAAGTCAGGTTTTTGACGCTTTTAAAAAAATGAGAAAACAAAGAATGAAAAATAAAAGTGAATTTCAATGCTTTAAAACAAAATAAAAGCCAAAAATGTTGATTGGCAAATTAATTACTTTAAAGACTTTAAAAATATTTAAAGTCTTAAAGTATCCTACCAATCGGCCACTAAATCTAAACAAACGAAACAGAGAACATTAAACCATTTTCCTCACTACAGATAAGAAATGAGCAAAGAAGAGAAATCAGAACTAAAATATACTAATATTTAAGCTTTCAAATTTGGATACAAACATTCACATGCAAACTATGTTGGTTCCAAATCATAAATCACCTTGCTTCATTGGTGAAAAGAATCAGTGGGAGCTTGTATGTGTATCTGTCGAAGTTTCCCCATTAAAACTTAAAAAAAAAAACAAAGAAACATGATCAAATTCATGGACAAAGAAGCCAAAACTCCGACCAAATCAACCGAATCAGAAATTTCATTTGATTTAGCCTTCGACGATAAAAACTAGGGGTTCTAACCATTGGAGGAACAAAATTTAAAAACTCTTATTCAAGTTTTTAACTTTGATAAAAGCAAAATTTATACTAAGAATTTGTTAAGAATCTCTTATAAAATTCTAACTATTGGAAATGGTCACCATTATTACTGTTTGGCTTCTGGTTCATTAGTATAATAAAAAGTTTACTGGTTTACCTCATTTGTGAAGACTTAAATTTGGTGTTATTTTCAAATGAGGTTTGGTGTTACCTCATCTGTGAAGTCTTAAATTTGGTGTTACCTAATGATGTTTCCAGACTTCTTTAAATTGGTGAAAAGCGTGAAATTCCATGAATGCTCGGTGGCTTAGATTGCATGCATTGGAAGTAGAAAAGTTGGCCTACCGTTTAGATAATAAATGTGATCTCAGTGCACCAAATGAAGTTGGAAGAGAAGCTCCACGTCTACAAATTGAGACTACAGATAATGATAATATCTTGTTCCAAAATTTATTTGGTCGATTTAGAAAAATCGAAGATAAAGAAGCTCATTTCTTACTTTGAAATGCGTTAATTGATCATTTGTGAGAAAGATTTACTAATGGTGATGTTTAAACTAAAATCTAATATTTAAAATGATATAATGTAGTTTAATTTAATGAATGTTCAGTTTAAATAATATTAATGATTTATGAAAGTTTGCAAAAAGAATAAAAGATATGGGGCATAATTGTAAGTTTTATAAATAAAATAATTAATTAAAAATAGAATCCATTTAAGAATAATAATTTTTAGAGTAAAAACTAGAGCTGGGAATTGGAGAGAATCTTTTTCTTTCTCAGGACAAACACATGATTTCATTCATTCAAATCAAATCGAGTACAAGGATAAGGATTAACAGACCCCAAAATTTAAAGGATTACAAACAAAAGCATTCCCCAATGTATTAATGGATGGAAAGAAACATCGAGAAAAGACCTATGAGAGCTTTCAAACAAACGCTAAGAAGCGATTTGCACATGTGAGATCAAGATTGCTCGACCTATCACCTTCGAAGAAGTACATGGATGAAAAAGTTGACACGTTCATGAGACTCTGAGACATTAAAGAAATAACCAAAGCCATGGTTCTCGCCAGAGTAGTGAAATGGCAAGGATTCGAGGGACCATGGTTTTAAAGTCCATGGATAGAATCTCTACTTTATTTTAGAGTTAAAAATAGAATTGTGCATTGGAGATGGTCTTAAGGACATAAGAGATGATTATTTTCTTAAAATTATGAGCTTTGATGCGCTCATTGATTCAACTGTCCAACCCGCTGAACCAGATCATGTACCAGTCGTCCCAGAAGGTCCCATGAGACGTTCAATGTCTAAATAATTTAGAAAGAGATTTAACTTAGCTATACAGGATATTGTGAGTTCACTAGAGCTAAATATCGTCAACTGGTCTGTACTACCCCTTACTCCATCACAACGGATATGAACTCATTGCCGAGGAAGAGCTTGCTAAAGCTTTCACCAAAATGAGTCTTGAACGTACTATTTCCCTAGGTACGAATTCTCCTTTGGCAGGTCAAGAAGACTCTAGAAGCCAAGAGAAGACATTGGTGTTACAAGAGTTGAGCGAAACAAGTTTAACCTTCGAGAGTGATCAAGAGAGTGAAGATCAAGAATGTGTGTTGATATATTGTATATATATTTCCATAATTTAATTAAATATAATCACTAATAATTATAGTTATCAATTATATTAAATTAAAATTTACTTAATGGACATCATACTGCAACATCTACTACAAAATTTTCATTAGTCAATGATTTTGGTAAGATTAATATATCATATTACATCAAATCAGAATATTTACTTCAACTCAAGTTTGATAGCTCATGTTACGAGTGGGAGCCAAATTTTACTTTTGACTTCAAATTTAGTTTTCATCAAATAAAATTAGAAATTATTGTCACATGATTTAAACATCAATAATTAATTCAGATGGTAAAGATAAAATTAGAATTTTATTTTTGTTTTGCCAATGTGAGTATGAATATAAAAATAATTTTTTTTTAAGAATTAAATTACAAATGTTAATTAGTATATATATTTTTCTTCAAAAAAAAAATACAGGTGTAAACATTCAAAAAAGTATAAATTAAGCATTTTCTAGTTTTTTCTCGAGAGAAAAGCATTAACTTTGAGACATCATTAGGGTAACCATTTTGGGCAAAACCGCATGGAAAGACTTGTCTTCTCTCCGGCGATCGATTAATCAAATCCTCTAGTTTCACACTTTCACTACTTTTTTTTGTGGGAGACCCTCAAAGAATTACAAACTAAAAATAAAATAAAAACTACAAGCGAACATGCACGGACCTTCCAACCCCGCTGATATCATCTAAAACTATCTGATTCACGAACTCCGGCCGGGTGTCGAAAGTATGAAGACCGAACGGAAGAGAAAAGGCATAGTTAGCTAATCCATCGGCAAGACAGTTAGCTTCCCTATACACGTGAGAGATTTGGACTATCCATTCTTTTGATAGAAAGCCGTAGCACAAACGTACTAGGAAAGAAAAGGGATGCACATCCTTAATCCCTGTCGTTAAGAACCCAAACACCATTTCCGAATCTATTTCCAACTCAAGGCGCCTAAACCTCCGCTCCCAAGCAATAACAAGTCCATAGTAGACTCTCCATAGTTTCGCCAACGAAACCAAACAAATACCTATGTTTAGGGCAAAGCCTCCTTTCCGAATCACATTACTATCCTGTAGAGCTCCAACTAAATTAGCCAGCCTAGGATTACCATGTGAAGCTCCATCCGTGTTGAGTTTTATCCAAGCATCACCAGGAGGGATCCACTTAACCAATCCTTCTTTTCTTGCAATCCCTTGCATCTTTCTTTGGCTAGCTCTTGGAGAAAACGCACACAATCTCTACATTTACAATTAGTATAAAAAAAATTACCACACCTCCACTTCCACCCTCACTAAACAGCCATTGCAAAATTTATGGCCCACGTTACCAAGCAAACCAGACTCGTGCCCTAAGTTGAAATAGAGCCATTCCAATAAGGGTTGTACAAAAAACAGCCAGATATTCCTTCTTAGGACTAGGCGGCGCCACACTCCCCCGAGAAATCTCTAAGCACATGAACAATCGTCTCCTCACCACTCTTACAAACTCTTCACCAGCATGTATTTGTAAGGTGACGCCGATGTCTCTCAACATCCGTCATGATCACCTGATGCACCACCTGATCGCCATCCGATGTCTCATTCCAAGACAGCCT